CTGGGGCAGATGGTTTTGCAACATCTGGAGTCTAGGGGGGCCATGTGGCCGGAAATGTACCCAGCTGATTGATGCTCATGATGCTCCCCTCCTGCCTGGTCAAATGTGCGCAATCACTGGGGCAGATGGTTTTGCAACATCTGGAGTCTAGGGGGGCCATGTGGCCGGAAATGTACCCAGCTGATGCTCATCATGCCCCCTCCTGCCTGGCAAAATGCGCGCAATCACTGGGGCACATGGTTTGGCAACATCTGGAGTCCAGGGGGGCTATGTGGTCGGAAATGTACCCAGCTGCTCATGATGCTCCCCTCCTGCCTGGTAAAATGCGCGCAATCCCTGGGGCAGATGGTTTTGCAACATCTGGAGTCTAGGGGGGCCATGTGGCCGGAAATGTACCCAGCTGATGCTCATGATGCTCCCCTCCTGCCTGCTCAAATGCGCGCAATCACTGGGGCAGATGGTTTTGCAACATCTGGTGTCGGGGGGGCCATGTGGCCGGAAATGTACCCAGCCTGGTAAAATGCGCCAATCACTGGGGCAGATGGTTGTGCAACATCTGTTGTCAGGGGGGCCATGTGGTCGGAAATGTACCCAGCTGATGCTCATGATGCTCCCCTCCTGCCTGGTAAAATGCGCGCAATCACTGGGGCAGATGGTTTTGCAACATCTGGAGTCTAGTTGGCCATGTGGCTGGAAATGTACCCAGCTGATGCTTATGATGCTCCCCTCCAAATGCGCGTAATCACTGGGGCAGATGGTTTTGCAACATCTGGAGTCTAGGGGGGGCCATGTGGCCAGAAATGTACGCAGCTGATGCTCATGATGCTCCCCTCCTGCCTGGTCAAATGCGCGCAATCACTGGGGCAGATGGTTTTGCAACATCTGGAGTCTAGGCGGGCCATGTGGCCGGAAATGTACCCAGCTGATGCTCATGATGCCCTCCTGCCTGGTAAAATGCGCGCAATCACTGGGGCAGATGGTTTTGCAACATCTGGAGTCTAGGGGGGACTTGTGGCCGGAAATGTAGCCAGATGAAATCTTAAGATGCTCCCAACATCTGGCTTGCTCATGATGCTCCCCTCCTGCCTGGTCAAATGCGCGCACTCACTGGGGCAGATGGTTGTGCAACATCTGGAGTCTAGGGGGGGCCATGTGGCCGGAAATGTACCCAGCTGATGCTCATGATGCCCTCCTGCCTGGTAAAATGCGTGGTATCACTGGGGCAGATGGTTTTTCAACATCTGGAGTCTAGGGGGGCCATGTGGCCGGAAATGTACCCAGCTGATGCTCATGATGCTCCCCTCCGGCCTGGTAAAATGCGTGCTATCACTGGGGCAGATGGTTTTGCAACATCTGGAGTCTAGGGGTCATGATGCTCCCCTCCTGCCTGGTCAAATGCGCGCAATCACTGGGGCAGATGGTTTTGCAACATCTGGAGTCTAGGGGGGCCATGTGGCCGGAAATGTATCCAGCTGATGCTCATGAAGCCCTCCTGCCTGGTAAAATGCGTGCTATCACTGGGGCAAGTCTAGGGGGGCCATGTGGCCGGAAATGTACCCAGCTGATGCTCATGATGCTCCCCTCCTGCCTGGTCAAATGCGCGCAGTCACTGGGGCAGATGGTTTTGCAACAACTAGAGTCCAAGGGCATGTGCTCCCCTCCTGCCTGGTAAAATGCGTGCTATCACTGGGGCAGATAGCATTGCAACATCTGGAGTGTAGGGGGCCATGTGGACGGAAATGTACCCAGCTGATGCTCATGATGCTCCCCTCCTGCCTGGTAAAATGCACGCAATCACGGGGGCAGATGGTTTTGCAACATCTGGAGTCTAGGGGGGCCATGTGGCCGGAAATGTACCCAGCTGATGCTCATGATGCTCCCCTCCTGCCTGGTCAAACGCGCGCAATCACTGGGGCAGATGCTTTTGCAACATCTAGAGTCCAGGGGCATGTGCTCCCCTCCTGCCTGGTCAAATGCGCGCAATCACTGGGGCAGATGGTTTTGCAACATCTGGAGTCTAGTTGTCCATGTGGCTGGAGATGTACCCAGCTGATGCTCATGATGCTCCCCTCCTGCCTGGTAAAATGCGCGCAATCACTGGGGCAGATGGATTTGCAAACCATGCGGCCGGAAATGTACCCACCTGATGCTCATGATTCTCCCCTCCTGCCTGGCAAAATGCGCGCAATGACTGGGGCAGATGGTTTTGCAACACCTGGAGTCTAGGGGGGCCATGTGGCCGGAAATGTACCCAGCTGATGCTCATGATGCCCTCCTGCCTGGTAAAATGCGCGCAATCACTGGGGCAGATGGTTTTGCAACATCTGGAGTCTAGGGAGGCTGTGTGGCCGGAAATGTACCCAGCTGATGCTCATGATGCTCCCAACATCTGGCTTGCTCATGATGCTCCCCTCCTGCCTGGTAAAATGCGCGCACTCACTGGGGCAGATGCTTTTGCAACATCTGGAGTCTAGGGCGCCATGTGGCCGGAAATGTACCCAGCTGATGCTCATGATGCTCCCCTCCTGCCTGGCAAAATGCGTGCAATCACTGGGGCAGATGCTTTTGCAACATCTGGAGTCTAGGGCGGCCATGTGCCGGAAATGTACCCAGCTGATGCTCATGATGCTCCCCTCCTGCCTGGTCAAATGCGCGCAATCACTGGGACAGATGGTTTTGCAACTTCTGGAGTCTAGGCGGGCCATGTGGCCGGAAATGTACCCAGCTGATTCTCATGATGCTCCCCTCCTGCCTGGTAAAATGCGCGCAATCACTGGGGCAGATGGTTTTGCAACATCTGGAGTCTAGGGGGGCCATGTGGCCGGAAATGTACCCAGCTGATGCTCATGATGCTCCCATCCTGCCTGGTAACATGCGCGCCATGACTGGGGCAGATGGTTTTGCAGCATCTGGAATAGGGGGACCATGTGGCCGGAAATGTACCCAGCTGATGCTCATGATGCTCCCCTCCTGCCTGGGAAAATGCGCGCAATCACGCAGATGGTTGTGCAACATCTGGAGTCTAGGGGGCCATGTGGCCGGAAATGTACCCAGCTGATGCTCATGATGCTCCCCTCCTGCCTGGTAAAATGCGCGCAATCACTGGGGCAGATGGTTTTGCAACATCTGGAGTCTAGAGGGCCATGTGGCCAGAAATGTACCCAGCTGATGCTCATGATGCTCCCCTCCTGCCTGGTAAAATGCGCGCAATCACTCGGGCAGATGGTTCTGCAACATCTGGAGTCTAGGGGGGCCATGTGGCCGGAAATGTACCCAGCTGATGCTTATGATGCTTTCTCCTGCCTCATCAAATGCGCGCAATCACTGGCACCGTGGGTTTTGCAACATCTGGAATCTATAGGGGGCCATACGTTCATGATGCTCCCCCTCTCGTCAAATGCGCGCAATTAAGGGGGCCATATGGGCGGAGAAATGCCCGGCTGATGCTCATGATGCTCCCCTCCTGCCTCGTCGAATGCGTGCCATCACTGGGGCAGTGGGTTTTGGTCTAGGGGGGCCTTCTGTCCTCATGATGCTCCCCTGGGCCGTCGACAGCGTCACCACACTTCGTAAGAGTTCGTGAAGATCCTGTGTCGCGGAATGTCATGTATTCCCTGGCTTCCTGCTGAAGTTGCTGCAGGTTCCTGCACAGCTGCGGGCATCCGTGCGAACTACGTGCGTTTCACGGCGCGCCTTCCAGCCTTGGAGACTGGCAATGCTCTCCGAATCTCTGGCGATGTGGTCACAGCAGTGGCCTGAGCTCGACTGCTGAGTTCTCAAGCGCCAGCAGAAGTGTGTTTTGGACATCTTGGGGCAGGAGAGGAAGGAATCTACGGTCATCAGCCCTCATCCATCGAGGTTTGTGTTTGTTGCACACCCGTTAATGCTGAATCACCATATTTACAAGATTTCAGCGACCGCCCGCTGGTTGATGTGCCCCACTTGCCTCACCTGCCGCCCACCGCTTGCCTCGCTTGTCTCCTTTATGAATATTTGATGTGAAAACACACCTCCAGCACCCTGCAAACCCCAACCCCCAATCGTCCCGTCCCCGCCACCTTCCTCCTCTGCTCGTGTCTTTATGGCAGACTTCCCCTTTTTCCCCACATCTTTGTGTGGGGTTCTTACTTTTGGGGCTGTCCCGCCTCCTCCTCCTCCTCCTTCTCCTCCTCCTGCTCCTTCTCCTTCTCCTTCTCCTTCCCCTTCTCCTTCTCCTTCTCCTTCTCCTCCTCCACCTCTTCCTCCGCCTCCTCCTCCGCCTCCTCCTCCTCCCTCCTCCCTCCGCACCATACAACACGTCACCGTCATGCACACTCCTCTCACGCTAATTTCATCGGTCCAAACCCCCCCCCCCCCCCCCCCTCCCCACCCCCCCCCTGTTTGTTAAACCCCGGGGCCTGCTCGAACCGGCTGTCTTTGAGGCAGATGCCAGGATGCCAGGGTTGCTGGTGCTAGTCATGGCTTCTTCAATTTTGCAAGTGGTTTTTGCTGAAGCACACACTGCCAATGCAAGAGTTTATCCACTGACACGACTTCGCATCCCCCCCCCCAACTCAACGTGGGGATGCTTGTAGAAGTCGCTTAGCCATAACCACGACCCTATTTGCCAAGCAGACACATGCAGGCAGCCAAGTTTCGAGCCTCGCCCAGCACAAAACAGCACAAAACATCGCAAAACAGCGCAAAACTCGCGTCTCAGGCATAACCGTACCCAGGAGGAGTCGTCCAATGCTTGCTGTGCACGAGACAGGAACACGGCTTGCGCATGTGCGTGAAAGTGTGAGCGCTCCGGGGGTGACCACTTTGCGGGTGTTACGTTCGCAGCGGATGTTCAGCGGATGTTCGTGGATCTGCACATGTCCAGCATGAATCACAAGTCACAAGTCTTTCGGGACCAGGCTCCAGGCTTCTCTGCTACAGTCGCAGCTTGTCTGAATGCCTGGCAGGCCGGATTGACTTTCTCCGCATCCTGCGCCATCCGTGCGCCCTATGCCACAGACATGCCTGATGGTGCCAACCCCCTGCCTGCTGGCACGGAATGCCACTACCGGACTGTCGAGATGGCTCTATTAGCTCCTCGGACGCAATGCCTCACAGGGACACCAAGCTCTCCAAGGCTATGACAAGAGTCTACAGCAGGGCTTAGAATCCAGTACTCGTACCGGAAATAGTCAGGACAGCGGCGGCGTCGTGCAATCGGTTGCTGCACCTGTCCTGCTTCTGCTCGCTACATCACCGTGGCCTGGGGCGCTCTATGCTGTTGAAGTACTGGCCCGCAACCCGCCTACACCGAGCGCTGCTGGAACGTGGACGCTGGAGGTCTTCGAGGACTCCAGCGAGATAACCCCTCTGCTCCTTGTGGTGTGATTTTCACATGTGTCTTATGTCTTGTATGTCTTATTGAGTCTTCTTGCTGATTCGCTTGGCTTGTGCTGCGCGTTGAAGCATAAGGCTCCTCTCGGCAACTGCAGTTGGATGCCCGGTGCGTCGTGTGCTCTCGGCAGAGTTGTTAGCAGCCCCAGAGCCTTATGGCCAGCAGGCCATCGACTGGGAGGTCACAGGGCAGCCCGGGACATTGGATCATGTGGTGCTCGAGCTGCAAGTCACAGAGCGTCCGGCAGTCGAAGGCGGTCACCTTCCACTCCGCATCGTCGCTCCGAGGGGTTTTCTCTTCGAGGACGTTTGCTCCGCCAAAGAGCTGAGAACTGAGGAGTCCACACCTTGGCCCGGTTTGCTAGGAGACTGCCATGGCCGAGGCCGTGAAGCCTTGATCCAGGTACCTCCCAATCTCGAGCCACTGAACCGCTACTCCCTCCGCATCGCCGTGGTCAATCCAAGTTATCAGGAGCTTCAAAACCTCCAGAGATCCTCCTCCTCGTCCCTTTGGTTCCTCGAGCTGGGGGAGGAAGCAAGCCCACCGCTTGTGGGCCCACGGCTACGTTTGCTGCTTGATATCCGAGTGGAGCCCACGAGCACGGCTGCCCAGGGCCGCACAGCACCTGTGGCACTTGCTTTCGTACCTTCCAGCACCGTACCTTCTGGCGGCCGGCTCCGGGTGACCGCACCTCAAGGCATCGAGTTCAACCCGAGCAGCTGTCTCTTGGTGGAGTCTGGTGGCGCATGTGAGCAGTGTTCGGCTGTGGCCGAAGCCTTGGAAGACCTGGCAGCCACAAACGCCCGGCCCTCAGACACAGAGCCCTCCTTAACAAGGCCGGTAATTATGGAGTAGGTGAGAGCTACTAGAGTATGCAAATAGCGATAAGATTGCTATAAGCTTATAAAGGTAGCGTCGTATCTTGTTGGGAGTGGGCCTGGTTTCAGCTAGTGCCTGTAGCTGCAGGCTCGAGGCTGGTGCGCTTCGACGTCTGAATGCTCAGAGGAAGCCAGCGGGTGTCCCGAGGACTACTTCTCCTTCGCAGTGGCGTTGTCTACCGCGCAGCAGTCCGAGAGCGTCAGTGTCGGAGCATCCTGCAGCTTTCAGCTACGTCCAGATGATTTGAGTTGCGCGGCTCTCGCGGATCTGGGTTCCCAGGCTACGCAGTCCCTGACTTTGCAGTTGTCGCAGATGCAGTTTGTGCAGGGCCGGCGATATGAGCTTACGGTCCACATTCGAAACCCCTCCGTCGAGGTTTCCGAGAATGCAAGCGGCTGGGAGCCTTGGCAGCTGCAGACAGAGAAGCTTGTCGACGGCACGTGGCAACCCTTGGACGTGGGTGAGGCAAGTGATGCAAAAGTGTTCCCTCACACCGGCCTGCCTGTAAGTAAGGAAAGTTAAGCAGAGTTTGGTGGATGTGACCTGAGGCGCCGAGCTACACTTTGGTTCCGGCATTGGGGCTGGATGTTGAGCCGCAGCCGGGGGCCCCCGTGCGGTTGCGTAACGGATCTGAATGCCAGCCAGCCCTAGCTGGTGAGGACGCTGGTGCTGTCCATGTCTCCCTGGACCTGGCCACCCCTTTGCTCGAGGGTGATGAGCTGCTTGTCTGGCTGCCACCTGGCCCGCGGCTGTCCTCTTGCCAGCTTGTCTCTGTATCACCCCTACAAAGCACGCCTCCCACATCACCATCCTCACCATCCCTTCCGTTCTGCGGAGACCCTGCAGAGCTCTGGATTGATTGGGAAATGCAAACAACGTGGCCGGTGGAGCCGGATCCAAACGCCACCAGCACTGAACCCACCACAACCACATCCAGCTCGAGCACAACCCTGACCCACACCAGAACATCAACGACCTACTCGCGGGCACAGGCGTTTGCAGACTGTGACAGCGTTGACGCTGGCTTGTCGCTTGGCTCGCTCAGGTTCTGGCTTCCTGATCCATGCCTGAGGTTCTGATTATGTGCTGATTCTGGTCAGAGTTCAAGTCCAAGGTGCTTGACATGCCACTGTGAAGCTGACTGTGAGCTGCGTCTGGCGGGCACACAGGCTTTGGGTAAAGTTCGGCTTCAGCTGGAGATCGTCCAGATTCTTGGAAGAGAGGTCACATGTGCATGTGTTTTGTTTGTTTGATTTTTGTTTGATTCTTGCTTTGCATTTGGGGATATAGTGCAGACATAAATATCAACACATGGGCTGAGCTGGTTCAAGAAAGCAGATTTGAGAGCACCAGGGGACAAAGCAACACACACGGTGTCGAGAACTACTGGCGAGCAGCTCACCAGCGCTGCCAAGCTGCAGAAATGGAGTTCGTAGGAGTTTGCAGGGGCGATGTCGGTGATGTTAAGATTTACAGGCATCCTTCTGAGTCATAGAGTTCCCATGCCGCTCGGCAGGTTGAATCTCAGGCTTTGTACACCCAAAACACCGAACCCTACCCTGCTGTGCATCCACAAGTGCGGCAGCGATGCTTCGCATGAACATCAATTCGACATTCGAGCTCGATCGATCTTCTTGAATCTGAATTGAAGCACCATTGAGTCATTGCCACGAATTGTCCCTGATTAAGGCTTTCCTTGCCGTTTACTGCAGGCTCGGGTATCACCGTGGCATCAGAGGTGGCTTCTGGGTGGGCCGTGCGGCCAAGGCTTCGTGCAGCAGTGCACCTGAGTGGAGGACGGGCAGTGTTATGCCCACTATGCACTGCTGCCTGCTGTTGCCTGCATGACTTCCGTACGAGCATCCAGACTTTCCGCAGAGCAGACTGCAAATTCCCCCACAAGGGATTTCAGTGGCTGAAGTTTGTTCAAGGACTTGTGGTGGAGCCCGGCATTGAGGCTCAGCCGTAGTTACGACCTTGTTCATGCCAGCGTTTGCTCATCGACCGAAGAAGGCCCTGCAATGGCAATCGACATGCAGTCACATACTGTAGGCACGCGAGGATGTCTCAACGCTGGCCCAAACCTAGCACGCATGGACAAAGCTAACGTGAACGACCGACCAAGCAGGACAGCAGGAAACTCGGGAAGGTAACCTGACTCGAGGAAGCGAGTAAGCCACCCTTGATGTTTTGGAAGGCCTGCTTAGAAGCGTCAAGAAAGGATTCGAGCAAGGAACCTCCCGGAATGCTAGTATGGAAGGATCGGATATCAAACACAGGCACTTTGAATTGAAATTACATACTCCACTTCTAAAGCGACGACGCGCGCGTTCCACTGCAGGCGGCCTACCTTCATCTGTCTGCTGGAAGCAAGTCGATCCTGACCCTGGAGCTGACCCCTCGGCTGGCAGCCTCGCATCTACGTGTGGTGGCCGTTTCACCACCGGCGCCTTGGGCCAACAGGCCATGCTTTTTTGGCCATGCCTTTTGGTCACGCCTTTTTGGCCATGCCTTTCGCCGGTGCTGCGACATGCCACAGTGGCCCAGGAGTTCGACTTCACGGGCACAGGAAGCAACGCAGGCCCAGGGTGCTGGGACAATTGCCGGGGGCATTCGCATCTGCTCAGGCCATAAGAATTGCTCGAAAGCCTCAACTCGAGAAAAGGGTACACTCACTAGATCTCTAGACGAGGGCACTTTCCCACCCAATCGAGGACTTGTCCTTGAAGCCTCCGGCCCACGTCTGCTGCTGGCGCTCTCCATGCAGCCCTGGACTCGCCGAGAAATCCAGTCCCTCACAACTGAAAAGACAGGTTAAATGTGAAGCTGCCATAGCTGCCTAGACAGAATTGTAGAGAGGATCCTAAAGACCTAAAGGAGACTAGTCGGGAGACTCCAACAGAGCCACTTTGCCACGATGCGGTCGATACGTTTGAGGCTGCTGCCCGTCCGCTTGGGAAGAGATGGCGGCCACACGACCTTCCACCTGGCTACAATGAACCAAGGCCGGGCCGTTTTTTTTTTTGTTTTATTTTTTGTTTTTTGTTTGGTTTTTTTTTTTTTTTTTTTGGGGGGGGGGGGGTCGTGTTAAGGGTCGTTGTTTTCTGAGTTTAGAGACCCATACGCTGGTGGGCCCCTTGTCAACAGCAGCCTAAAGCTGTCAGCTGAGGCGTGGAGAAAGTCGTGGTGGAGGAGGTCCTGAACCTCCAAGGCTTTCGGCTGCCGGGCAGCCTCCTGCCTGTGGTTCGGTACATTTCTGCCAAAATCATGACTAGGTTTCATAGTCGATTAGTGTGATTATGTGGAGTTGTATTATGCTATACTTCTATATTGTACTATTTATATGTTCTCATATCTTCTAACATCTTCAACTTCTGCTAGCATGTTCTTATACAACTATTTTCACATAGCGGAACAGGCTGTTACACCGAGAGCCTCAGCATGAAGCTGAGGCCTCGAGTGCCTTGAGGCAAGGCTTTCCCGGCAGCTCCTTCCTTCCGAAAATGCGCTCGTCGCCTCCTTACCTGCGAGCCCCTTGGCTTGAAGCGCCATCGTCATACTTGATAACAAGTTCGCTCTTTTTTCTAGAGAATGTAGACTACACTTGCAGGATATTGTGTTGTACTTAACTTCAATATCTTATGCTATGTTTATTTAGAGTGTTGCAGCATCCGACGTCATCCAGCAAAATCATATATGGCTTCTTGATGGCATTGGGCCAAAGCACTGCAACAGATGACAGGATTGGGAGAAGCCGCTTGGTTGTCGCTTACATTCTCCTCGGGCCAGCCGGCCAAAGCTATGGCGGCTGGGCCTTTCAATTGTCTTTGTCTTTGCATCGTGAAAGGGCACAGTGGGCAAAGCGTACGTTCATGCTACGCGGTGCGGCAAGACACTACCCATCTACTGTTCAAAGAGAAGGCCCATTCCATGCTAACTTTTCCTGCCCAGTTGTACGGCTGAGTTTGCCCTCTTGTCCGCAGTTCGACCCCTGCTTTGAATAGATTGCCCTGGCGTCGGTAACCGGCCCTTAGCTAAAGTGACTGTTTCACTGCTGCCTGAAATCTTTCGCATTCTTTTTCTTGCGCTGAAGGGTATAAACTGGTCTCGATTTGTCGGTTTTGAGACTTCGAGGCACGCCTGACACTCGCCGCACCGAGCACTTGGGAGCTCCAGGCAGGCGGCGCAAGCTTCGCGGAGGCGATGCTGCAGCCAACTTGGTCTGGCTTTTCACGGCAATTGTTGGGGAGTTTAGCATGTAGATTATTCGGCTGTGATGTTCGTTGTGTTCACTGATTTTCTGCGGTAGGTCCGGTTTGTGTTCCTTGTCGGGTATTCATGTGCCTACACCTGGCAGACCTAGCCGGGGGTGGGTGAGGGCCACCGGTGTCGGGCCCTGCCAGGTCGAAGTGGGGGAGGTCCTGCGGGCAGTCGCTCGGAATTCAGCCTCATGTTAGCTGTCGATGCCTTGCACGATCATGCATTGCTCTCATTGCGCAAACGCCTTAAGCCATGGACCAGGCATTGCTGGCGAACATGACGTCTTTCACCACGAGCAGCTTCAGCGCGACGATCGTCGAGGGGCTTTTTGCCAGGCCGTTCATCCCAAACATCCCCAACTGCCCAAACAGCTGAGCATTTTTGTAGTTGTTTGCTCTGAGCTCTCGAACGAATAGACTTGGAATAGAGACCGTATGTGGAGTCCGAGACCAAGCGCTGTGAGGCCGCACGCCTATTCGCTGATGGTGCCTGGGCAGTTCAGAGAGCGGGTTCGATGGCTCACAAGCTCAGCCTAGCAGTGATTACTCAGTGATTCTGCAGTGATTCTGCTTCTGTCAGGTTTGGTCACTCTCCTTCAGCTACGAGGTGCCTCCAGGCAGCCTTTGGCGCCTGGACATTTTCGATGGCGGCGAGTTGCCGGCCGCTCTGGACGCAGCAAGAGTCCATTGAGTTCATTGAGTTCATCCCTCGCGCGGTCTCACAGAACGCCCACGGCCTTTCTTACGTGGGAGTTTTTTGTGCCTCAGGTTGCAACCAGCGATGTCGGCTTCAGCTTGCCTCTGAGAGGCGGCTCAGCTTGCTGACTCTTTTGCTCTTCTCTCTCCTCTGAAATCATCTAATCTCTCCGGACATTTCTCCACATCCAAGGGGCCTGGCCGCTACCGCTCTTATCACTGCAGCTCTCGATGGGGAGCCCTCCCCCTGGTGGCCGCACCTTCGCTCGGCTCGTGCTGAAGCCGTGGCCACCTGGCAAAAACATGACAAGAGCAAACATATGAGAAAAAGTGGCAACATGCGTTGAGGATGGCACAGTACAGGCGGTGCTCGCGCGTGCTCACAACCGTCATAACACCTGTGCTTGGATGCTTGTTGAGGCTCCGAAGTTCCTGGCTCCTGGTGCTGCCACCGCCCGGCTGGCTCTTGAGCAACGCGACGTCCGGCCCGGAGGGCCGCATGCTGAAATCGCTCGGCTGGCAGGACTTGACTGGTGGTTTCGAGGCTGCCCTCAACACGCAGTTCAAGAGATGTAAGTTCTCACTGCTGAGTGTCAGAAGCAGCCTGACTAGCTGCGATTGAGCTTGAAGAATACACATCCCAAACACATAGGCACACACACACACACATTCACTCACGTGGTTTATGGCGCTCCTTGCCCTGCGAGGTGGATCTGCAAGTGGCTGCCTCGCTGGAGCGCCCTTCCTTGTGTTTTCCGGCAATCCATTCCATCTTCGGCCGAGAGATTTAGCAGGGCCGTTTAGATCATATATAGGACTTTATTGAGCCTGTTTGCCGACGGGCCGGAGTCGAGCCTAGGGGGTAACTCATGATAGCTTAGGGCTGAGGGAAGTGTAATCAGCTTTTGGGCTGCGGATGGCTGCGAGACGGGCAGGGTCCAGAAGACTCCGAGGCAAAGCCAGCAGCCAACCTGCGTGACAGTACACAAAAGTCACCTGTGATAAACTTTGCAATGCATCCTCACATGAGTCACATTCGTCCTCGGTGTCTCGCGAAGGAGACCACCACGGATGCAGCTTGGTTTGTGCTGGCGGCGGCGAGGGATCAGCAGCGCCTGGAAGAGGGAGAAGCCCTTGCTGCCGAATCCTGGGGCTTTGTGGACGGGGCCAATGTGGCACCGATGTGGGGGAGCGTGAAGCATGCCAGCTCGGCTGATCTTTTGCAGGAGTTGTTTTAACTGAGTTTTCACCTGCGTTTGTCAGACGGGCATGGTCACGTGCTGGCGGGTCCCGAGGCCAACCTGGCAGGGCTCAACCTTACGGCCCTTATCTTCACGATGCGCCTGGACCAAGAGGCACAGGTTGGCATCATCCGTATCACGCCGCCAGAAGGCCATGGGATGGGCACTTCTTCAGTTTCGGCTGCAGATTCACGATGATTCGCGTGTTCTCATGTGCTTAACATGTGCAAGACATGCGAACATCAGGCTATGGCCAGCCGTCGTGCCTAGATGCGGCAACTGTTCGCGGGGAACCCCGCTGGCCAATGTCCTTGAGAAGGTTTGGACCATATTGTCAGGAATCTGCTGCTCTGCTGAAATTCTGAAATGTGGAGAAGACCATCCCGTACCAACTTAGATACTTTGCGGCGCAGCGGCCCTTACACCTTTTCAAGTGATTTGGGAGCTTCCTGAGGCCAACGAATCCTTCACGGAGGTCCTTCTCACACAACCTTTGCCCGTGGGCTCCTGGGCCTTTGCCTTGGCCATCACCCTGCCCGACGCAGCGGAGGACCCCCGCTTCCGCATCGAGGTCTTCACAGTCGAGAGGCGGGCTTTGCCAAGCAGACCGCCAAACTGGGGGGAAAGCCATGAGTATCCTAAGTGCCTGCATGAGAAGTTCTTGTGAGGTTGGATCTGAAGTTTCTACCTCTGAAGGGGGCCCATTTTTTTTGGCCCTTTATTTTTCTATTTTTGCCCCCTTTTTGTTGGCCCTATTTCATCGTTTTCCTCTCTAAACCCTAAACCCTAACCCCCCCCCCCCGAAGAAAAAAAAAAAAAAAACAAGGGACAAAAACAAAAGATTAAAAGGGCAAAAAAAACAAAAGTGCACCTCTGGCCCAGGGAATTGGTCGACGCGGCTACGGCCCTGGCTGCACCCGACCTGCTCAGTGCAACGCTCTGGCCGCTGACCGCTCCGGAGTTGACCCAAGTCTGCACATGGGCATCCCTGGGGCAGCAAAAGACTGGGGGTGCTTCTGTGGTGTGATCCTGTGAACGAGCGCGAAGGATTCTTCGCAGCCGCACCACCGCAGGCTCTGTGCGGTTAGTGCTGGAGATCGCGTTCCGCTTCGAACAGACCTGGGTTCATGAAACTTGAGGCATAGTTATTGGGTCCCAACATATCCCAACCCGAAGAGAGTCGCAAGGCAATGGAAGCATAGCTTTCGCAGGATGATGTCGGTTGAGACTGGCAGCATTGAAGCTTTGCGATTGCTGCCCCCCAGCGGCGTGCTGTACGATGAGGACAGCTCCATGGGCAGTCGGGCAGTCCATGAGTTTTGGAGCATTCGGCAGCCCAATCGGACAGGAGTTTTCCCTGTCCGTTGAGGGCCTGCTGCTTGCACGAGGCAGCCCAACCGTGACATCCTCGCAGGCGGGGCGCTAAGCCGCTAAGCTCTCGCCTGTGCTGCTGGACGTATCTAGCTGCCTAGCTGACCGCCCATGTCGCAAAACCCACCGCCCATGGACGCAAAGCAAACCCACAAGGCCTTCATCACCCTAATGGCTGCTTCAACTGTGACGCCGGGTGACGTGAGCATTCGCTGCGGGGTCAAGTTGGCTGGTGAGCCGGCAGAGAATGTTTGGAGCCATGGAAAGCATTGCATGCCCTCCCTCCAGGCACCGTCCTCCGTTGCCCCTTGTTGACGCTCATGCCCGAATCTCTCTCCGCCTGCAACCTTGCCTATCCAAGGATGCTTGATATTTGCCGACAACTCACTTGCTCAAGTGGCTTGCCCAACAATAAAGAATAGGCACAATCTTAACACAAAGACACAGAGCATCGTCGAGGGAGTCTGGATTGATAATTACGTCTCTTCCTTTTTTGGTCTTGCGGGCTGCTTCGCGGCGATGTCTGCGGCTCGCTTCTTGCGCTCTCTCTCGCTCTCTCTCCCTCTCTTTGTCTCTCTCTCGCTGGCTCCCGGAGCCCCTCTCCTCTCTCTTGGATATGTGCCTGCTGCCTCTCTCCTTCTCCTTTTTGTGCGTCTCTCTGATCTTTGACCCTCCTTTATCCTTGCCGTTCTTTGGTCTTCCTTCCTCCTTTGCGTTTAGATTTCGGATCTTCGAGGTGAAGAGGCGCTCCGCTTCCCACTGGTTGGCGCCAGCGACGTCGAGGTGCGACTGAGCACGTGAGGCGAAGACGGAGAAGAGAGGGAATGAGAGAAGAGACGGAGAAGCAGAAGAGCACGGTGAGGGGAAGTGAGGAGACGACGGGCGCATTTCAGGAGCCAATCCCCGATGTGGAAGTTGGCCGTGGCCACGTGCAACACCCCCGGCTGGCCCTTGTGGTCCTGGCGCATCTGGCGCGTCTGGCGCGGACAACCGGATCAGGAGGCTGAGGTTAACATATCCTGAGTCTCCAAGCATCGTGGCGATGCAGAAGCCGCAATGTCCTGGCTGCGTTTGTGTCAGTGTTCCCTCGACAGGTTCTTCAAGAACTTAAGGGCCGGCAAGAGGATCACACATGATCGCACGAGGTAACGGGCCTTCGGCCGTGGGCCACCACAGACTCGCCAGCTGCTGGCCTTTGCTGGGACTTGGATCACTCGAAGACGGCTTGATGGCTTGGACTCCACAAGCCTTGAATCGTCTCCGCCTTTTGCGCCTTTCAGGAGCTTCAGCTCTTCGGACTCTGCGAACTCTTCGAGCTCTTCAACCTCTACACATCCTGGCCACCCTGCGCATCCCTGCCCCATTTGACGCTGGCCTCCTTCACGTGAAGGAGGACCTGTTTCCGATGCGGGCGATCGCATCTGACCCGTGGTCAGCGAACAATCGCAGGCACGTGCACGCACTTTCGGAGTGAGGCGGAGCGGGCGGCAAGCACGGCTGCAAGAATTCCAAGCGCAGCTGCAAGCATTGGATGGCGCGGTGAGGTGAGAAGTCTGAAGTTGACAGATAGCAGATATCAGATAGCCTCGGGTGCCTGCAGTCCAAAAGGCCTGTCCGCACTGCTGCCAGGGGGCAGGACAGGACCTGCAGAAGCCCTCCAACCGCCAGAACCAGCTACGTACTTGTTGTAAACCAGCACCCGAAAACTCAATGTCTTGTGAACAACTCTCCCAGCCTTCAGTTCCCGTCTGTGTCTGTCCGGGAATCTTAGGCATACGATACCGTATCGGATGGATGGAGCACCGCAAAAAGATGTTGCCTGCAGCCCTTTCCAGCACTTACCCAGTCGGCTCGCCGCGTGTGATATCACGAAAGATGGGGTGTGGCGGGAGCGCTGGTCTGGACCCCAGCTGTGCAGTCTGCTGCTGCTGCTGCTGCTGCTGCTGCTCCCGGATTCACTGGATCCTGCACCGGGATCGGATAGCATTCGTGTCTCACTGTCTGGCAGGCATGCGAACGCTGTCGGTGGAGGGAAAGTCAAAAATTGAGGACTGGGCAGGTTTTTAAGCTCAAGCTTCCAACCACCAGACCGGCTGCGACCCACATGACTCAGATGTGTTTGAGGATGAGTCAGGATGAGGTATCGCCGCAATCGGCCTTCGTCATGCCAGGAGCTTTTTGACAAGATGGACAAAGACACGAGTGGAACGATCACCAAGGAGGAGGTCACACGAATGGGTTTCTTAAGTGCGAATGGTCGATGCGGATGTTTTATGAGCGCCAAAGACTTCAGCCACGGCCGTGCCATGACCCATTGCAGGCCCACAAGTTCTTCAGCAGTTTTGCGAAGGCTTCGCGGGCATGTCGATGCGGCCCATGTGCGGGGATTCAGGTTCTAAGGGGGTAGGTCCGTGCTGGTGCTTGTGCAGGTGAATGCCAAGGCCATGTTTGATGAAGTGGATGACGACGGCAACGGGAGCATCACCAAGGTCCGATTTTGCGGAGGATATGTGCCAAAAATCAGTTAGCATTTCAAGCTTTTGTTGAGGCGGAGTGGGTCGGCTTCTGGCAGCAGGTTGGCCACCAAGAGCGCACCGTTTTGATCATGTCTTAAGATCTTGAGCTCACTGCGTCGAGATGCAATATATGGCAGTTGTGCGCGGGTCTGTGTCCTGCTGCCAAGTCCTGTGTACTCTTCTCGGCCAGGTCAGGTCTGCTGGCTATTCCAACGAGCAGAATCCCATCAGCAAGTTTCCGGGGTGTGCGAGAGAAAGAAAGAGAGAGGCTGCACGTGGATTTGCAAGGTGTTGTGACTGCTTGTGGGTCGTTGCAAGGATCCTGGAGGAACTGGAGCTCATGACGGACGGCGGCGATTGGGTGAACTGGAAGGTGCCGTGCTTAGGCCATTGGCCTTTGGCCTGCAGATACGTTCTCAGGGCTTACGGGTGGGAACCAAGGACGGCAAAGACGTTGCAGCCATGTCCCGTGACAAGACCGACTTCGCCAAGTCACCTTCGAAAGCACCCGAGACCCCACAGGAACCCGAAGCCAAGGAGGAGACGAAAGCGGAGGAGCCTAAGACTGAGGAGGCTGCGGCGCCTGCAGAGGAGGCCAAAGTGGAGGAGCCCCAGGCGCCCCAGGAGTCCCAGGAGCCCGTGGCCGAGGAGCCGCCCAAGGCGGAGCCTCAGGCTGAGGCTGCCGAGCCTGCTGAGCCTGCCGAGCCCGCTGTGCCCGCGGCCGAAGCTGAGGCGCCAGGAGCCGAAGTAACCGAAGGAACCGAAGTCAAGGAGGCGGCCGCGGCGGCGCAGGAGCCAGAGGCAAAAGCTGAGGAGCCACAGTGATGGCGAGAGGACTCTTGACTTGATAAAGTTGTCAAGCCACCCTGTGCATCTGTGCTATAAATTGCTCCCACGTGGGTACTTGTCGTGCACGATGCCACGTGGCCACGGCCTAGATCACACATTCAGATGTCGGGCAGTGTTACAGCTCAGGTGCCACCCATGAATGCTGAGTGAACGGCACTTTAGAGAGGTTTCACCTTCAGAGCCGAGACATGTCCAGACAGGCGGTTTCTGTAATAGGAAATGCTGACTGGAGTAACAGGCTGAACGAAGCACCACTATCTAGGCATTCTTGCCATCAGAATCTGTGTTGGTTGATTGTTGTTTGGGAGCTACCTGCCTCCTTGCAGCCGCAGATGAATCAGCCTGCCTGATTTTAAAAACCAGGCAGCAAAATATTCTTTCGTCCTTGGGACCGAATTCATAAAGCAGCTCATACCTAGGATCGGCCGCTTTCAGTGAGCAAGAGCGGAAAGACTATACCAGAGCTCTCTCATGCTTTGCCGTGGCTTCCTCTCCCCGGTTCTTCTCACTCTCTCTTTTCCTGTCCCTCCTTCCCACGCAGTGTGATCTATCGCTGCGTCGCGAACCAAGCCGTGGAGGTCAACTTCCCCGACTTAAACTTAAAGCCGTTGAAACAGAAACACGACACTCATGGCGTGAGGTCGTCAAGTCAACTTGCTACGTATTCCTAGGCTATGCTTTTATGTATGTATGCAATGTATGGAAGCTTTTGGCAGAAGGGGAGCTATTCAGGATGTCAGGATTTTACGACCGGTGTAAATACTGAGATAGCTTGAGATCTTGAATGCACCGCTGATGGGCTCCGACAATCGCTGAAGCACGCGTGAGATCATCAGGCATCATGCTCAACTTGCCGATCTAGCTTCTGGGACGCCTGTTTGTCATCCTCTGGCGTGTGATGATTGCTGAGGTTTATCAGTACCAGTTTTCATCAAGTCTTGGGTACACACCATCTGCGCATGTGCAATGCCGGCTCTGCCGCCCCAACTCCCGCTGCATGAGCTTCAGGCTGGTCCGTGCACGATGCACTAAGCAAGACAGAGCAAGACAAAGCAAGAGGGCAAAACGAGGCAGAAAAATCGTTTGCACATTTTGCGTGTTCGGTGTGTTTGGAGATGGTCTTCGAACGAAATATTGGCGAGGAAGTGGCAAACTAAGACGAAGATTGCCATGTCCGAACTCCTTCCGTGTGTCCAGCAGCAATCTCAACAGAACAGTGGGCAGACAGTAAGGAGGGGCGAGGCATTAGCTGCATGGGCATTAGCATGCTGGTATATTGCACCAGCTAGAGGCATGCCAAAAACACGGAGTTCTTCAGGGTAGGGTGCGGTAGAGTCATGGCCAAACATGCTCTTGTACTCGTAGGAGCGCCTTCAGCTGGCAAAGTCGCTGTTCGACCAGAATGTCGAGAAACTTCGCGCCGAATTTGATGGTGACGCGTCCAACTCTGCTTTCAGAAGGGGCTGGGTGTCTTCCACTCTCTGCTGGCCCTGAGGTGTGCAGCAGCAAGCGCACGAACTGGCAACATGCCTGGTTCGCCCCTGAATGGCTTGGAGGTTGCAGGACTCTGCACCATGCCAATAGCATGTTCCGTTGAGGCGCAAGCAACTCCTACGCAACCAGAAGAGTTGGAGACGATTCCGCCGAGCAAGAGCACTCACGAGGCTGAGTGGAAGAGTTCAAGTCGCGGCCACGCGTTCCCAGGAACAATGCGGCAGTGCCAAGCATAGCTGCAGCTCGAAGTCTGGAAAGGTTGAGCCTGGCTCCATCTCGACGGGCCATGTGCATCATGTACATAGCGAGCTGAAGGAGATCCCGGAGAGCTCCTTGGCTTTGTGGGCCGCCAGGATGGCGTGCTGAGTGTGTCGCAGAATCGCGAGCCCGTTGTTCGCATCGTCCTTCTGTTTGGTGTTCTTTTTTTGGAGTTTTCCTTCTGTGAAACTTGAGAAAGCCCAGCCAGGTGCCCAGAAGGAACCTGAGCAGAAAGCGAAGCGAGAGGTGGGAGCTCAAAAAGCTCCACGGCTGATGAAGACCACCTCAGAGTTCGAGGATGATGCCAAGCCCATGTCTCAGGAAAGCCAATCAGGGCAAAAGGGATCTTAGAATCCAGCCCCTCATCTGCCCACTCTGCCCACCGTCTGCCCCCCCCCCCTCCCCCCCCCTCAGTTATGATGTAGCGACGCCCAGGCCAACCTCAGACAATGGATCGCTGTGGAGCGTTCTGCCAGCTGTGGTCATTGTCGTAAACGCGCTGGTCATTGGGATAAGCCTCGATTTTTATCGCGGCTTGGCTCCGGTACCTCCCCCAAAAAGCCATTTCCGGAATGCGCAGTCGTTTGGCAGCGACTGCTACCAGCCTGGAAGCATCTGGAAGCCTTCTGTCAAAGAGTCACGAGATCCCGGCCAGAACTTCAAGAGTCTTGTCGCCAGGCGGCCACTTTGCATGGCAAATCTTGGAATACTTTTTTGCCGCACGATGCATGTTATGCTTGGGTGAGTTGGCGTTTGAACCCATCCCAGCCACTGCAGAGAAGTTTCTGTCTGTTCTGGTTATGGAGTAGACGTCCCAGACCTAGACAGCTCAGGTAATCTTCTATTCGCTGGAATTTGCTGCGAAGGCTCCTCAGAGTCGTAAAGGCAGGCATGCCTGGATCAGAAGCAGGCAAGCGGAAAGCATCCAATATGCTTGATTCGGGCTTACACGAACACAGTTGATGAGCTCTTTTCACTGAGGTTTGGGTTTTCGGATTTCGCTGGTATTGGTGCGGGCCAGATCGATCATGGAATGCCTTCGATTTCGCATGCTTGGTCATCATGTACGTGTCGCACCTAGAGCACGTGTTCTCTGCTTTGCGCGTGCGCTCAGGCTGCTGAGATCCGCATGCGTGCCTTCTGAGGTGGATGCCAGCGTTGCCACCAGCTTATACGTGGATGGTGGCGCTGGTGGAGCAGATGGGTCCCAGACGGTCTCAGGCCTTAACCTCATGAAGATCTTCCGCTTGGCGCGCTTGGCCCGCTTGGTGCGGGCACTTCGCTTCCGCGTCTTCTATGAGCTGAAGCTGCAACTTGACGGAAGATTTGTAGCACAAAAATCACAAGAAATGTGCTGCCCGATTGAAGTTTGTCGAGGATCGTCTTGGGCGTGTTCTCGGGACTGCGCGTAATCTGCTGGGCAATACTGCTTCTGGTGGTACTTGTCTATGCCATCGGAGTGGCCATGCGTGCCAGCCTTGCATGTGGAAGCTGTCGTGCAGCATTCTCAGGGATGTGAGGTAATGGCACCACAGTAGTGTGCTCTTGAGAAGGTAATTTCGTTGGAGAGGAGGAGGAGCGGCGAGAGCTGTTGGGCAGACTTCCGCTGGAGCAGCTGACGAACCCAACACTTGATGGCAGGAGTTCGAGAGCGTGCTACAGGCCATGTTTACCTGCCGATGCCTCAGCATATGAACAGGCCTTTCATGCTCGATTCGGCATTTTTTTATTTTTGTTCACATCTTTACCTTTCTTTTGGCCCGCTCAGGCTTCAGATGCTTCACCGAGGGCTGTGACTCATATAATGGGACCCCTTTGCCCGAGCGCCTGCGTGAGCATTATGGAGGCGGCTACTTTGTGGCCCACGCCTTAGCATTCTTTCAGCTTCCCTTCGCTTCTTCGAAGTCTTGAAGCCTGCTCCGATCGGATCGTGTGAGACCGGATACATCTTCGTGACGATGCTAATCAATGTGGGCGTCTTCAACCTTATCATGGCTGTTTTCATTGAGATCTGTAAGCTGCAAGCAGATGCGATTTTGAAGCCAGGCTCTGGCGACAGCTGTAGAAGTCCTTGAGTCTCAGTCTCAGCATCTTCGCTAAGGAACGTGATGAGTTCCCAGTATGTGCGGAAGCAGAACGAGATTTCCGAGACTGCCATGGCCATGGAGATGAAAATCAAGGACCTTCAGATGACAGGGACATCTTCTCTGTGCGCGTGTTGCTGTCGTTGAGCTGACGAAGAGATCTTCGAAATGCCAGAAAATATGCAGGATAAGATCATCCGCAAGCTGGGCTTGCGAAGAAACAGCTTTCGCAAGTCATCCGACCTCAAAAGTAGATCTGAAGACATGGACTGGGTCTTGCAGGCCCGCCTGTCATCTTACCTGCTTAGATTTGGCCAGCTGTCCTGCAATGGGCATAGACCCCTGAGAATTGCTCTGTTGCAACTTGGTCCCTCCAGACAGGCTGGTGGCCGGAGCATCTCCCGCGAAGAGTTTGCCTTCTGGCTCCAGGATCCCGATTTCATCCGGCTGCTTGATGAGGCTGGAACACTGCAGTCGTCAAAGTCACAAATGTGCTGGGCCCTAGCGGCCCTAGGCCCGCTGGGCATGTCAGTTTGGGAAGACTGCCAGGCCAGCATTGATGTCTCGGGCAGAGTGGCTCTCTTTGATGTCCTTGATGCAGATGGAGGTGGAGAGTTAAGCGTGGAGGAGTTGCGTGGCGCACGCTTCAGCAAGCAACACACGCTCATCATAACATTATGCTAGCACATCCCACGAGATGTGAGAGTGCACCTCTAGTCTGTGCCGAACACGTGAATACATCCTGCTCCTCCTCCTCCTCCTGGTGGGGCGTTTTGTTTCCCTAAACCCTAAAAACCCTGAATCCCCCCAAAAGGCCCTGAACCGTGTTTGTAGATTTTTTGTTCCAGTTCTCTCCGAGGCTGATCACCGGCCTCATGAGTCTCCGGGGGCCGGTCACCAAAGGAGACGTGCCTCGCCCCTTTTGTGAGAACCGCAGCTCTTCCCCATCCACTTCTGCGAGAGAGAGAGAGAGGGAGAGGTGGGGCGCGCGGGGGGTTCCTGGGGGCCCCTCCTGCCCCGTAGAAGAAGGAGAGGGTGCGGCGCGTGCGGGGACTGCACGGAGGCCCCGCGCCGCAAGGTTGCCCTGCCGAGGTGGGAAAGCCCGCTGCCTTAAACGCAGCAGCGTGCAGGAGACAACTCGTCCTGTACCCACTGTTCAGCTCCAGTTGGCAAGAAACCCGGCGGGAAGAAGCTTCTGAGAAGACCAGGAGCTGGCTATGTGAGCGTGGGTTTGGGGTAGTTCGGGGTAGAACCCGGTGCAATCAGGTCGAGGGGCGTTCTACCCTTCCATGGAGAGGGGCCAAGTGGCAGGAAAGAAGAGACCGCCCCGCTTAGGCAGGTCATATGCGCAAGGAGGAAGGAAGAAAGCGAAAAGAGGGAGAAAGAGGGAGAGAGAGAAGACGAAGGACTTGGCCAGCCCACGAGGCACCTAGCTGAGCGTTGCCGCAAACACTGAGCGGGGGCCCCGTGCCCTCAAGGCCCCCAAGAAAGAAAGAAAGAAAGAAAGAGAGAAAGAAGGGAAGAAGGGCATGACCCATGCAGCCCCAATGTCAGAACGAAGAGTTGATGTGAAACAACATCGGGGCCAGCCGTGCCAGAGCAGGCAATAGACACCCCACGCAGCCGTCAGAACCGCCCCTGGCACAAAGCAGAAGCCGGCGCACTATCACGACTGTCGCCGTTTGAGGAAGGTCTGTACATCTAGACTACCGATGGCCCTGGCAGTAGACGAAGTGGAGACCGGCACGCCATCGAGTAAGCCCGCCAACACTAAAAAGACCTGATCCGGGTCGGGGGAAGAAGAAGAGACGATGATTATGCTCCTCCGACTTTTCAGGCTTCTGTGGGAGGGGAAGGGAGAGGGAGTCGGGGGAGGAGGAGAAGGAGAGGGGGAGGAGGGAGGAGGGGGAGCGGAGGGAAGAGAGAGGGGCGGAGAGAGGGGAAGGGGGAAGGGGGGGGGGGGGGGG